TGCCCTGATGCCTTTTTTGCTGGGGAAAAGCCGTTGGCTTTCCAAAGGCCACCCCAGTTCACTCAGATCAAGAGACTGTTTTCTCCTTTTCTCTACACCCATAACCCTCTTTTCCTCCGTTGATTCTCAGCACGGCCTGTGATGGCTTTCGCCTCCTTTTCCTTTAGCTGACTGAGAACCAGAGCAGGAAAAGCAGGGCCCTGTGGAGAGATGCCGGGAGGGCTCCCACCGCATTCGGGAGGTGTGCTGGGCCGAGACAGCGATGCTGACTCAGGGATCACAACCACATGCTTCCTCTTGGAAACTCACCCCCAGCCCTTCTCCAAACACTGTGCCCTGGGAGCCTGGCAGCTGTTTGGTCAAGTGGGGCCTCGTCTAATCTCCTGGAGGGCCGGGCTGGGAGATCCCAGCTGCCGGGTGCATCTCTACAGCTCTTCTCCATGCTCTGCTTGCATGGATGCTGTTCCCACCTTCTGGATCCATTCTGCCCCTCCCAGCTCTGCGTACAGGGTGCCCAGAGAACAGTTCACCCTGGCTTTCAGCTTGGGGAATTGGAGCTACTAGCAGCATCTGGGCACCACAATTCGGGTTCTCAGTTTCTGCTCCCGGGTACTACAAAGTCCACAGACGGTGCTCAGATAGGCTTTGCTGGTCAGACTCAGCCCGACTCAGCAATCAGACTAGAACCCAAGCAGTAAAGAGGTCGTGGGACCCAAAGAGAGGAAACTTTTTCCAGGAAGAGGAAAATAGGGAGTTTTTCCTTGTCCATAGAGTTCTGCAGGTGGACTCTTTCCAGACTGGAGGGAGCACTGACTCCAGGTTTAGGTATCCAGTGGGCAGGGGTGGGGAGGACTCACTCCAGGAGAGGAGGTAACTTGAGGGCTGTGCCCACTCCCTCTCTCTGCCACTTCATGGCTCCACGCCAACCCCTGGGAGCTGACCTGGGACCCCTCTGTTGGGTCTGGGAGGTTGGATCCTGGCATACTTCCCGGGCTTAGGTAATAGAGGCAGTCGAGCTGTTGTGGGGGGTGGGTATGGGTGTTCTTAAGACCAAAGGATCTTGAGGTCGGAGGTGTATTGGGGAGAAAGCATTCCAGTAGCTTTCACTGCTGTGCAGAGTCCCTTTCTTACACACTCTCTCCCAAATAAGAACCACCAAAATGGAATAAAACTGGGCCCAAGTCACGGTTATTGGCACTCCTTTCTTTCGAACAGTTTTCATTTGTCAAAGCCCTCTGCTCAACTGACACTCCCTTGACGGCTTTTGTAGCCTTGACATTGAGCAGCGGAGAGAAAAATCCAAGAGGGTGACCCGGTGTAGCCTCTGCGGTGGTGTAGTCTCCGCGGCTGCAGGCTGAAATCCACCCCTCTCCTCCGGGGGCGCCGAGGTCACAGGCCACGTTTTTCACGCAGAAGTCGCGGGGTCGACGGCCCAGAGGCGGGTAGCTCAGCGGAGCCTGTCGCAAGTTTCCTCCTGGGCTGCGGTCCCAGTCAACAAGTGGTCCTCCTGCGCGCGTTTCTCCCTCTCCGTAGCCTTCAACAGGTGCCGGGCGCCGGTGTCCCAGCTCCCCTCTCTCCCCTCGCCCTCTCCAGCAGTCTGTGCTGGGAACGCTTCAAACCGGTATTTAGTCTGTTGCGGTTGGTGGCTACGCGCATCCCAAGCTGAATGCCCAGCTAGCCGGCCTTGCCTTCTGCCAAGGGGAAGGGGAGTGGTGGGAGGGTAACAGGGGCATTTTTTTCTGAGGGGCTTTGGAAAGCACGGCCCAGGCAGAAAGAGGGAGTTAGTCGCCAGAGGGCCACTCTCCATGGTCCAGCAGCCGCCCAGATCCACGCACACCCGAGGGTTCCGGGCGGCGCTGACATGGACGGCATGGCTGCACTTGGCTCCTGAGCCTTCGCCCTCCTCGGCGGCCCAGGCGCTGCGGGAGCTGCTTTCTCCGCCGCACCACTTTCTCCAGGGCTGGTGGATGCCAGATGCCGAGCCCTGAACTTGCCTGCGAGCTGGCGGGGCCCCTTCTGCGCGTCCCAGCCATTTATTCCATCCTGCAATTAAACCCGAGGTCAAATATCTCCTTAACGACGCTATCAGGCCAGCGGCTCATTATGGCGTATATTTAGCCATAAACTAGGGGTTGTAGCAAGGAGGAGATGAAAATTATTGTGTTCTGGGAAAGAATCCTTTTAGCAGAAACCAGAGCTGTTATTTACCAGGGAGAACTAAGTACAGGCTCCGGCTTCTAGGCGACCCCAGGCAGGACAACCTGCGCTGCCGGCCCTTGCCGCCTTCGCCCCTCGCCCCTGCCCCAGGCCCCCACCGGCTTCCCAGGACCCAGAAGGCGCCACCTCAGGGCACAGGGAGCCGCACTGCAGTGGAGCGACATGAATGTGCCTGCGGAATGGTCTGGAGTTGGGTGTGTGTGTGCAGTGTCAGAGCATGTGGCTTCTAGAGTGATTCTCTTTCTCCCGTGCAGCCTTAGGTGGGTGACCTAACTTCTCTGCACCTCAGTCGCCTCATCTGTAAAATGGGAGAGAAGTAATACCTTCTCCCTCGCAGCTCAGGAGAATAACTCTGATCCAGAAGGAAGTTTAGTAACTGATAGCCCAAAGAAAAATCATGAGGACGCTGATTAAAAAAAAAAAACCAACTTCATAGAGTGCTAGAATGAATGAGTGAATGAATACAAGTACTTATGTAAGGCTGTGGGAGACTTGGAGTCCAGGGTTGGATGAGCCCAGTTTGAATGAGGCCCAGACCATCACCAGCCGTGCTTCCATACACACTGGAGATGCTCAGGTTGGCCCCTGCAGAGCTGAGGGGACAGAGTGTGTGGGTTGAAGCCACCCCAAATTGAGCCTCTCAGGAAATGACCAAGTGACCCACAGGCTACAAATATTTGGACAAATGAAACAAGGGAGTCCCCAGTCTAAATGTTTGCCCAGGGCCTCCTAGTGAGGAGATTAATCACAAGGCTGGTGGGCCCTCCCCCAACCCAGGCCGGGCAGGTGTGTCCTAGGGAAAAGTGGCCGTGGCCCCTCACCCACACTGGCCAAGGCCCAACTCCCCTGGCCTCCGGGCTGGGCAGGACACCAAAATCCCATCCCTTCCCCCATGGACATCTTGCCCAGAGATTCTGGGAGCTCCTGCCAGATGGATGTGGGTTGTGTTGGGGCGGCAGCGGATCCCTGGACCTTCCGATTGAACACGCATACGATATGTGCATACACACACGCACATATATATGCACACACATGTATGCACACACACACATGCACACACACACACACCCAGCAGCCAGGTCACCCCCTCTGCCTCCCCTCTGCAGGCCCTCACTGCCCCGGGTGCAGTCCTGTCAGCTCAGCCACCTCCCCGCTCCCATGCTGCCCATCTGCAGTGAGACAGTAGCCAGTCCTGGGGGTCCCCCTGAACTTCCTGGAAAGGGGAGGGGCACCAGCTCTCTCGAGTCGTGGCCACTTCTGGAGGGGGTTGCAGTTCTGAGATGGAAGTGCTGGGTGCTGGTCTGCGCTCTCTGTCACAGCTCTGTGATCATGGCCAGGTGCCACCCATCTCTGAGCCTGTTTCTCCTTCCGGGCAACGCAGATCCTGCGTTAGCACTCAAGAGGCCAGGCCTGCTACCTCTCACATTGGATGTCAGGCCCTGCTTCTCCGTTTGATTGGCTGTCTCTCTCTGAGGCACCAGCCCATCACTCAGCCCATCACCTTTAGGACGCACACACCAGGCACTGTATAGACTTTTACCCCCAGGTGATGCGGATCCAGGCTTTTCCAGTGGCACAGGGAGAAATTCATTACTTAATCACGGGCTTCCCTGGTTGGCCAGGGGTTAAGAATCTACCTTGCAATGCAAGAGGTCCCTGGTCCCAGAAGATACCTCAGGCCAAGGAGCTGCCTACCCCCAGGCACCACAACTATCTGAGCCTACGCTCTCAGAGCCTGAGAGCCAGAACTACTGAAGCCCTCCCACCCAGAGCCCGCGTCCTGCAACAGGAGAGGCCACTGCACTCAGAAGCCTGTGCCCTGCAAAAAGAGGAGCCCCCACTCGCCGCAACTAGAGAAAGCCCGCACACAGCAACAAAGACCCAGCACAGCCAAAAAAATTAAATAAACCTTAAACTTAATCCTATGGAGTTCTGATTAAATATCACAAGATGTAACTTTTGTTGGCTAATTACTATAAATATATGTATGGTTTATTGCTAGGGATCAATGTGCTTTAAGACTCTGAGTGTCTCTGGGCTGCACACTGTATTACTTGGGAACTCCACGGGGCAGAGATGGCAAAGAATGACACAGGCGGTAAAGGCGGACGCACATCCCCAGATGTGTCCACTCACAGTCACTGGCCTCAGGTGGGTCCCGAGGCAACGGCTTAGATGGGCTGGGGTTGCGTTGGAGACAGGCTCACTGCGCAGAGCTGGGCTCTGTGATGCCATTCAGGTTGTGTTGCTGGGAGGGTCTCCATCCAACATGACAAATGCACTCAGCCCGGCGTGGAGATGCTGCCGCCCAAAACTTTTTATTTATTTAGAAGCATGTTTACTGTCTGGCGGGCCGCCTGCTCGGGTGAAGAGCCCAGCCTACGGTATACAATCCTCCAGTTGTGCCCTCCAGGCCTTTGAAATGGTGGCTTCTGCACAAACGAAGTTCGTTCTGTTCAGAAGAGTGTTTCTATGCTTTATTCCCCTGCAAGAGTTGAGATTGAATGCCTGCCTTGTGTCAGGCTCACTCAAGCGGTAGAGGAAATAGCAGAAGATCCAGAAGGATTAGGCTAATGAGACAACATTTTCCCCCTGGGATCATATTTTGGTCTGTTCTCTCTCGGGTTAGCCCGGGTTTCTACGGCTGACCTGTAGGGAGACGGGCGCTGTGCAGAGGCCGACACCGGCCACCAGGAGCCGTCATCTCAGTTAGGACACCAGATACCAGCAAGATGGCCCCAGGACAGCAGTGTTCGTGGGGCACTTCCTGTGCATCGGGCGCCATGCGGAGTGTTCTGTTACCTCCTTCAATCCCCCAACAGCCTTCTGAGAGCAACTCCGAGAGGACTGCTCCCATCCTGCAGATGGGGTTGTGGAACCCAGAGAAGGCCTGGCTCGTCGCGTCACACGTTTCTGAGCGACGGAGCATCTGGCTCCAGAGCCTTAGTCCGCAGGGTCCTGGCTGTCCACTCACCGCCACTGACGCAGACCCTGAGATGCGGGGTGAGGAGCTGTAGGTGGTGGTGCAGGAGGTTGGGGCCTGGCAAGGGTAGGTTTTCAAAGAGACGGCCCGCTCTCCATACCGTGTTCAGTTTTCTGAGCACAGTGGACTTTGGACCATCCTAGAATCACTCCTAAAGTTCTAAAAATTGCTTTCTAAAAAACTGAGTGTGAGCGTGGATGTTCTTGTGTGTGATAACTGAGTGTGAGTGTGGATATTCTTACTGATGTCTCAGATGTCTGTGAGGCATCTGGAACATGTGTTCTTGATGAGGGGACTTTTCCAAACTGGAAAGAGGTGACCCAAATTCGAAGACAGCTTTGGGAGGCAAAATGCTTCGTATGAGCAGCAGTTCATCACCGTCTAAACCAGCTCCGTCCTTGTCTTTTAAAGATGTGAGTGAGTGAGTGAGTGGAAGTCGCTCAGTTGTGTCTGACTCTTTGCGACCCCGTGGACCATAGAGTCCATGGAATTCCCCAGACCAGAATACTGGAGTGGGTAGCCTTTCCCTTCTCCAGGGGCTCTTCCCAATCCAGGGATTGAACCCAGGTCTCCCACCTTGCAGGCGGATTCTTTACCAGTTGAGCCACAAGGAAAGCCCCTTTTAAAGATATGGAGTGAGATAGGTACCGATGGGGTGCGCTTCAGAGTAACCAAGGGCTTGGGGATGGGGGGTGGGGGGTGGTGGTGGAGATGAAGCAGGATTGGACAGCAGTTGGTAAACTGTGGGCAGTGGGCAGATGGGGCTGGGCAGATCATTTTCTTCACTCTTCTGTACTTGATGATTTCTACGGTAAAAAAAATTTTTTTAAATTAAAAGTCACCTTGTCCTCATAGGGACCAACATGGTGGGGTGGGGAGTTGGGGCAGGGAGTGATGCAGAGTTCAGTGGTGATAAGGGTGGGTTGTATGCACACACACCACATACGCACACTACATACACATACCACATACACACACTTCATAAACACACACCACACACACATACCAGACGCACACCACACACACACACCGCATACACACTGCACACACACCACACACACTGCACACACACATCGCACACACACACCACACACACCACACACACACCACACACACACCGTACACACACACTGCACACACACACTGCACACACACACTGCACACACACACCACATACACACACCACACACACTGTACACACACACCACACACACTGCACACACACACCACACACACCGTACACACACACACCACACACACACCATACACACACACCACACACACTGCACACACACACCACACACACTGCACACACACACCACACACACACCGTACACACACACCACACACACACCACACACGCACACCACACACACTGCACACACACACCACACACACACACACCACACACACACCGTACACACACACACCACACACACTGCACACACACACCACACACACACACCACATACACACACCACACACACTGCACACACACACCACACACACACCACATACACACACCACACAAACACCACATACACACACTGCACACACACACCGCACACACACACCACATACACACACCACACACACTGTACGCACACACCACACACACACACACACACCGTACACACACACACCACACACACTGCACACACACACCACACACACACACCACACACACACCGTACACACACACCACACACACACCACACACACACCACACACACACCATACACACACACACCACACACACCACACACACACCACACACACACCGTACACACACACACACCATACACTGTACACACACACCACACACACCACACACACACACCACACACACTGCACACACACACCACACACACACCACATACACACACCACACACACACCATATACACACACCATACACCCACACCACACACACACCACACACACACCGTACACACACACACACCACACACTGTACACACACACCACACACACCACACACACACACTACACACACTGCACACACACACCACACACACACCACATACACACACCACACACACACCATATACACAAACCATACACACACACCACACACACACCACACACACACCGTACACACACACACACCACACACTGTACACACACACCACACACACCACACACACACACCACACACACTGCACACACACACCACACACACTGCACACACACACCACACACACCACATACACACACCACACACACCGTACACACACACCACACACACACCGTACACACACACACCACACACACTGCACACACACACCACACACACTGTACACACACACCACACACACACCGTACACACACACCACACACACACCACATACACACACCACACACACACCACACATACACCGTACACACACACCACACACACACACAGCACACACACACACACAGCACACACACAGCACACACACACACCATACACCACACACACACACCACACACACACCACACACACACACCATACACCACACACACACACCACACACACACTACATACATAACCACATATGCACACCACACATGCACACCACATACACACACCACAGACACCCACTGCACAAATACACACCACATACACACACTGCACACATACCACATACACACACTACACACACACACCATATATACACACCACACACACATATCACATATACACACCACAAACACACACCACACACACACCCCACATACACACCAACATACATGCAGAGAGAGAGATAAAGAGAAAGGAATCCTAGACATTTAAAGCTAGACAGGGACTTGACATGGTTTCCTTTCCTTCTCCCATTTTACAGTGAGACATAGGGAGCCCAGAGAGGGTAGGAGGCTCATCCAGGCTGGCACAGCAGGCTCACTGGTGATGCCAGGACCAGATTACATGTGACGCAGGTTTCTGCCCCTCCCCCATTAAAAAAAAGTCCAAAAAGACATGTCATATAGCATAAGAAAAGGATTTCATATTTGCTGTTGTACAGTGGTCAGAGTGGCCAGTCAACCAGGTCTTGTACTAAACACTTGGGTAGGTAGATGAGCAGTGGACTCCGGACATTCCGAACATCTGCGTACTTCCTGGTCTTGTGCCCAGTTTCCATGAGGTGGCCTGGGGCCTCCCATGTTTCTCGGGATGTTTTGAAATCTGCTGAGCCATCTGTATAAATGTGGAGGCCGTACACTGTACTGTCATAGCCTTTTCATCTGTTTACACATCCCAGCCATGACGACTGACATGATGATACCCTCCAAGCATTTTACATAGAATGGGGCTAAACACAGGGGATCTGGGCCTCCAAAATGACCAGACAGCCTAGAGAAATGCATTCTAGCATGGCCTCTAGAACCACATTCCGAGAGCCTCATCCTCAGCTCAGACTGGAGGCAGGGGATTGCCACTGGCTCTGCCGAATTCAAGGATGGCTGGCTGTGTCTACTGTCCAGGATCAGATTGGGAAGCTGCACCCATTGCCTCCCACCCCCATCTTCTCACCCCCACCCCTTGGGCTGAAGGTGGGCAACTGGACACTGGGAGCTGCCACACCTGCAGAGCCCAGCAGGAGCCAGATCTGCTCCAGGCTGCCTCCTCTCCGCCTCTGGCTACGTCTCATTGGCTGAATCTCATTCACAGCCAGCACTTAGGATGCAAGGGAGTCTGGGAAATGTAGTTCTTGACTCTCTGGATCAGGAAGATGCATGTGAAAAGATGCGTGGGTGCCGGGAGTCAGCAACACAGGTCCCTCCCTCTGTGTCCAGAGAGGGCTCTGTTCATCGTTCTGTGTTACCACTCCATCCGCTAGCTACCCATCTATTCATTCAAGAGATGTTTACCAGGTGCCAAACATCACTGAGGTGGTGAACACAGAGCTTCCATTCTGGTGGGCAGGCAGTTAGTAGCAAGAAAGGACACGCCAAACAGAAAAGCTAGTTTCAAATGGAATGAAGAGCAATGAAGACAGAAAACTGGGCAGTGAAATGGAGTGATGGGAGAGCAGGGCTCACCTGAAGTCAGTGGAGCCGGATGACAAGGAAGCATTCCTCAGAGGCCCTGACGTGCCGCTGGGGTATGACTGCCAGGGTCCTCCCCAGGAAGCTGGGTGCCTGGAGTCGGGGAAGAGGGAAGCAGAGAAGGCTGGGAAAGAAGAACGAGAGGAGAGAAAGCGGGCAGGGGCCAGAGGGATCCTACCCATCTAGTGGGACTCGGAAAGTGTGGGTTTTGTCCTGAATATGGTTCAGTTCAGTTCAGTCTCTCAGTTGTGTCCGACTCTTTGCGAGCCCATGGACTGCAGCATGTCAGGCCTCCCTATCCATCACCAGCTCCTGGAACTTACTCAAACTCATGTCCATTGATTCCATGATGCCATCCAACTATCTCATCCTCTGTCACCCCCTTCTCCTCCTGCCTTCAATCTTTCCCAGCATCAGGGTCTTTTCCAGTGAGTCAGTTCTTCGCATCAAGTAGTCAAAGTATTGGAGTTTCAGCTTCAGCATCAGTCCTTCCAATGAATATTCAGGACTGATTTCCTTTAGGATTGATGGTTGGATCTCCTTGCACTCCAAGGGACTCTCAAGAGTCTTCTTCAACACCACAGTTCAAAAGCATCAATTCTTCAGTGCTCTGCTTTCTTTATAGTCCAACTCTCACTTCCATACATGACTACTGGAAAAAGTATAGCTTTGACTAGACAGACCTTTGTTAGCAAAGTAATGTCTCTGCTTTTTAATATACTGTCTAGGTTGGTCATAGCTTTTCTTCCAAGGAGCAAACGTCTTTTAATATTATTCCTGCAGTCACCATCTGCAGTGATTTTGGAGCCCCCCAAAATAAAGTCAGCCACTGTTTCCACTGTTTCCCCATCTATTTGCCATGAAGTGATGGGACTGGATGCCATGATCTTAGTTTCCTTAATGTTGAGCTTTAAGCCAACTTTTTCACTCTCCTCTTTCACTTTCATCAAGAGGCTCTTTAGTTCTTCTTCTTTCTGAATA